GTGACATGGCACATCGTCTTTTTCTAGTGAAAAGCGATGCTCTATTTGCCTTAACATAATGATATTTTTAAAATTCCTAATCAGCTAATTACCTAATCCTAATTCCTCATTCTTCTTTTTACTAAGTTTTTTTTAAAATACCTGTGCTGTTTTGTTAATTGATGAGTTTCCCAACAGATGCACTCATGTGTGACCTTCCCAGTAGGTGTACTGTTGAGCGTATTGCTGAGTTTACGTATTTTTCCAGCACCCATCAAATAATAGAAAGATGATAGCAGAACAAATTTGTGTGTAAATTACTGAAATATACAAGAACTAAAGGGTATTGACACTGTGGGACTTCAGTTATCCTAATATAGTTTGATGAGCAGCTCCTGATGTGTAAATTAGAACTTTCTTGAGCTGCCTGTTTCTTGCTGGACAGTCATTTTATTCCATGACTACAGTGTGACAAGTGGAGCATGTTTCAGTGGGAAGAATCTGAGCATCATTCTGGTCTCAGGCTCAGAATAATCATGAAAAAAATGATAAAGAGCAGCAAAGTGTATAAGTACTTGACTTGAAAGTTCAGTGAGTTGAAAAACAATCTAGCCCAAAGTGCAATAAAAACAACAGTTAGAATTGAAAGTCAGAGGCCTTCAGGGAATAGATAGTTCAGATACAAAATGAAAAGGGGAGCATCCAAAGCCAGCCTTCCAGGATGACAAAAGATATAGAAACTAAAATGAGACAAGGACAATAATTACAAGAAACTTATGACAAACGTAATGTTCCATATAAGGAGAGAACCAAGCTGAATATGAGGGTATTGTTTTGAAAGTAGCAAAGTTAAAACCTAAAGATTGAAGCAATAGTAATTATGTGGTTATAAAGTTGATAAAAGGGCATTAGCATTAGTAATGAACTGTTGTTTTTCAGACTAAAGAGAAGCATACAATGGTGTACCCCCAGATTCCATATTAGGATTCCTGCTTTCTTGATATTTATTAATAATCTGGACTTGTGCATACAGGGTAGAATTTTGAAGTTTATAGTTGCAACATAGTGTAGCTTGGAAATGTAGTAAGTAATGTGGAGGATATTATTCCCATACTTTCAGAGGCCATAGACAAAGGTCAGTTGGGAGTTAGTGCCAATGTCACTAAACTAATAATCCAGTAGGCCCAGACTAATGTCCACAGCAGCTGCTGGAATTAAGTTCAGTTATTAAATAAAATTCTTCTGCCATCTCACTTGAGATCACCACAATGGTGGGGATTACCCTTCTCCATCTCCTCCTGTCAGGCATCCATTCCTCTTTCAATCCCACTGCCTTTAAGTCAGTCACCATTGCATTGAGTTTTGAGTCCAGTAGCTTCTTCAAAACAGACCCTTTCTGTTTTTGTTTCAGATTTACAGCACCCACAGTTCTTTGAGTTAAAAAAGCAAGGAGGTTATGTTAAATGTTGGTAAATTACCAGTTAGGTATCAGCTGGAGAGCACTGTGATCAGTTCTGGACTTTGCACTTTAAGAATGACCATTACCTTAGACATGGGTTTATTTGTATGATACTAAGGATGAGCCATTTCACTTTCATGGAGACTGCTGAGGACTGAGGATAAAACTAAAACGTTGTGGTTGCTGGAATCTGAAATAAAAACAGAAAATGCTGGTGAAACTTAGCAGACCTGACAGCGTCTGTGGCGCGAGAAACAGATTTGACATTTTGAAGTTTAGATCGCATGGAATACAGGGGGAGCGAGTCACTTGGATACAGAACTGGCTCAAAGGTAGAAGACAGAAGGTGGTGGTGGAGGGTTGCTTTTCAAACTGGAGACCTGTGACCAGCGGTGTGCCACAAGGATCGGTGCTGGGTCCATTGCTTTTTGTCATTTATTTAAATGATTTGGATGTGAATATAGCAGGCATGGTTAGTAAGTTTGCAGATAGCACCAAAATAGATGGTGTAGTGGACAGTGAAGAAGATTATCTCAGAGTACAATAGGACCTTGATCAGATGGGCCAATGTGCCGAGGAGTGGCGGATGGAGTTTAATTTAGGTAAATGTAAGGTGTTGCATTTTGGCAAGGCAAACCAGGGCAGAACTTATACACTCATGGAGTGTTGCCGAACAAAGAGTCCTAGGGGAGCAGGTGCATATTTCCTTTAAAGTAGAGTCACAGGTAGACAGGGTGGTGATGAAGGTGTTGACATGCTTGCCTTCACTGGTCAGCACATTAAGTGTAGGAGTTGGGACATCATGTTGTGGCTGTACAGAACACTTTTAGAATACTGCATACAATTCTGGTCATCTTTTATAAGAAGGATGTTGTTAAACTTGAGAGGGTGCAGAAAAGATTTACAAGAATATTGGTGGGACTGGACGGTTTGTGTTATAAGGAGAGGCTGAATAGGCTAGGACTTTTTTCCCTGGAGTGTTGGAGGCTGAGTGATGACCTTATAGTGTTTCATAAAATCATGAGGGGCATGGATAGGGTAAATAGCCAAGGTCTTGTTCCCAGGGAAGGGGAGTCCAAAACTAGAGGGCATAGGTTAAAGGTGATAGGGGAGAGATTTAAAAGAGACCTTAGGGGCAACCTTTTTCACACAGAGGGTAGTACATGTATGGAACGAGCTGCCAGAGAAAGTAGTGGGGATGGGTACAATTACAACATTTAAAAGGCATCTGGATGGGTGTATGAATAGAAAGGACTTAGAAGGATATAGGCCAAATGCTGGCAAATGGGACTAGGTCAGATTGGGATGTCTGGTCGGCGCAGACAAATTGGACCGAAGGGTCTGTTTCCATGCTGTATGGCTCTATGATTCTGTGATACGAGAATGCTTGATAACATTTCTTGAATTATGAAGTGTTTCAAGAGAGTAAATAACAAGGAACATATTCCAGTGGCAAAAGGGCCAGTAAGCAGAATACACAGGTTTATGGTAACATAAGGAAAAAAAATAGTGCATTGTGATTTGGAATGCATTGCTTGAAAGGACAGTGGAAGCAAGTCCTTTAGTAACTTTCAAAAGAAATTAGAATCTGTTTGAAGGGTAAAGATGCACAGAGCTGTGGGAAAGAGTAGGACCATTTGGGTCGCTTTGCTAAAAACAAGCCCAGTAGCCTCCTGCACTGCTGCAGTAAGCTATGTTTCCGTGTTTTTTTTGGATACCTTTAGTTATGTATAAATTACCTGGACTCAAGTTTAGGGAGCACTGCTGTCAAGTTTGAAAATGATACATAAGTTGGTAACAATGTAAATAGTGTAAGGGAGTGCCATGCTTCAAAAGGTCACAGACTGGTGAAATGGGCAGACACATGGCAGATGCAGTTGAATGCAGATGAGTGTTGGGGCGAATGACACAGAGCGACAATATCATCTAAATGCCATTATTTTTGGAAGTCTGAGCAGAGGGAATTAGAATCATTGAATTGTACAATATAGAAGAATGAGGAGGGGATATTTTCAAAGCTTTGAAGATAGCAAGGCAAATTGATAGCTGGTTAAGAAAGTTTATGGGACTTTTGTTCGGTAAATTAGGGTATTGTGTATAAACACGATGAAGTCGTGCTAAATATTGATGAGTTACTAGTTAGGCATCAGGTGGTTTATCATGTATAGTGTGGACACCACACTAAGAAGAATGTCAGACCTAGAAGAGGGTACAGTGAAACTTTATTAGAATAATTGCAGGAATTAGAGAGTTCAGTTATGTGGAGGAAACAGCATTTGTTTTCTTTTATAATAGAGAGGTTTAAGCGGAGAAAGAAGTACATAATTGAGCAAATAAGGAGAAACTATTCCTTTTAGGTACTGAGTCAGTAACTGGGGGGACCGATAGCTTTTAAATAATTTGACAACAGACTAGAAATGAAACAAGGATAGATTTCCTCATACACAAGTTCTTAGATCTTAAAGGATGGTGGAATCAGATTCTTTTGTAACTTTCAAAAGGCATTTGGATATGTACCTGACAAGGACAAATTTGCAAGGCTAGGAAGCGAAAGTGTGGAATGTGGGACTATATTTGACAGGACTTTGAAAAAGCTGGCATGGCTTGAAGTGCCGAACGACCTCCTTTTGTGCTGTAAAATTCCAAGGGTCTGTGAGCTGGTATTGTACAAGCCAGTTCCTTGGCAGAAAGGCTGGTGAGTTTCTCTTGCATGAGGTTTCAGGCAGATGTAATGGAGATTTGTGGTTTCTGTTGAAATAGGTAGAGTCAAGTGGGTGACTATTCCCTACATACTCTGAATCTGCAAGTTGTCATATTTTCTCATGAACTATTTTTTGGAATGGAATTCACATGAGGAGTTGATATGATTTAAAAATTAATCAATGTTTTACCTATCTATGCATGAATATAACTTGTCTGCATTTAATTCTCTCTGTCTTCATGTTATTTTTCTCTGACTCCCCCTCTCTGAGTAATTAAATGCCTCTCTCACGCTCTCTATTTTACAGAGTCTTAAGAGTTGACTAGGTTATTTCTAAGGTTAGATTATTTTTTGGATGATTGGATGCTAGTCATTGAGCACGGTGATCAGCACGGCTTGAAATTCAGTTGACCTTTTACTTAATATGTTTAATAGCTGTGTTTTAAAAATATAAATTTCATTACTTACAGCCATTGCAATGTCATTTAAATGTTAGGATGAAATACCTCTCTTCAGACAACAGCTGTTTTTTGTATGAAACCCTGTCAGCTCTTTTAAGTGGACATAAAAGATCCCACGGCTCTAACCACAGGAGAGCATGGAAGCTTTCCAGGGTGTACTGACCATTATATTTATTCTTCAGCCAGCATAACTTTTATATTAAAAAATGTATTATCTGACCAGTGTTGTTGTGAGATTTAGCTATGCACAAATTGCCTGTTCTTTTTCATGCATAACAGTGGCAACTTTTACTTCACTGGATGCAAAGTGTTTTGGGATGTTTGTTCGCTCTTTTGTTCGTTACTTTTTTTTTCAAAAAAAAAAGACCCACGAATCATCCTTGCTTTCTCTCCCTTGCAGCTCTGCAGTGTCGGGATAACCACCGTCCTTGTGAGAATAATGGACGCTGCATCAAGAGCCCGCATGGAGATGCATCTTGCCTGTAAGTTGCTCCTTTGACTGGAAACTATTGGATTTGGGTGAATTATAACTGACTTCTGTCAGTGTGCTGTTCAGTGCCCAGGTTGCCCATGAGCATTGCCCCAGGGCTCCATTCCCAGTGCAATTCATGAGCTCTCTGAGCTGTTCTTGTAATTCGTGGGAAAGCAGTTTCTCCTGAATTCTTTATTGGATTTATTAGTAACCGTCTTATATTTCCCTGGTTTTGGACTCAATCCATAACTAGAAGCAGTGGCCCTATACAGTCAGACAAAGCAATTTTCATTAGTGTCAAGTGATGTCAGTTGATTCCAACCTTTTAGTAGCTGCCAATTGATAGGATTAACGCTTAGAAAAAATGAAAACCATGGAAAATGCCCTCCCCGAAATTATTCTTTCTGTTGAAGTTCGTGTCATTGAAATAATTTTCAGAAGTATTATATGAGCAAAAATGTATTTGGCCATTTGTCTCAGCCTCTGTGCGTCACAGCTATGTGCAATCACTTTAAAAAGAATTCTTCACAGCTCCTCTGGTCCTGTAGGTCAATTTGTTACCCAGTGAGGAACTCAGCTGTGAAGAATAGGAAGGTGTGAAGTTTATGATCCCTGTTTGATACTCCTTTGAACTGTGCCACCATTTGTGTACAAGTCTCAAACTTGGGGCTGTAAATATTGTTCTTTCTTCTTTATTTCTCTTTCCACACCGAGTGCTGCAGACCAGTGAGGCAGACAGCATCCATACTTGTGTCTGTTTTCATGTCTAGTTTTTCCTAGAACAGGTCACTAACCTGTTGCCAGAGGCTGTATGTAGCTTGACGGGTACCACTCGACATCAAGCACAGCTGACCAGGAGACACTCTCACTCTATAATCACTGCCATGGGCATATTGGAAAGGTTTACATGTTGATAATTGACCTCTTGGCTACATCATGAATGCGCCTTCATAAAGTCCCTCCAGTGTGGAAGCAGGCCATTCAGCCCATCGAGTCCATACCAACCCTCTGAAGAGCATCCCACCCAGACGCACCCCCTACCCTATCCCTGTAACCCTGCATTCCCCATAGCTAATCTGCATAGCATGCACATCTTTGAACACTATGGGCAATTTATCATGGCCAGTCCACCTAACCTGCACATGTTTGGACTGTGGGAAGAATCCAGAGCACCCGGAGGAAACCCGCACAGATGTGGGCAGAGCGTGCAAACTCCACACAGACAGTTGCCTGGCAGTGGAATCAAACCCGGGTCCCTGGCATTGTGAGGCAACAGTGCTAACCACTGAGCCACCGTGCCACCTTCTGTGGTCGGTAGAGTGGGACTTTAACCCAAAGCACTTGGCTCAAAGACAGAGATGTTACTTGATGCAGCTGAAGACCTTGGGCCTCCCCATAAATGTTAAACAGTCATAAATAAATCCAATAAGGAATTCGGGAGAAATTTCCTGACCCAGAGAGTGGTTATAACATAGAATTCAGTACCACAGGGAATTGTTGTGGCAAATGACATTGATGGATATAAGGGGAGACTAAGTAACTTACATGGCCTTCATGTTTGCTGTGTGGCAGCAGTGACATTTCAAAAACTGCACTGTGGTTGCAAAAGGTTTGTTTGATACTGCTTCCATGAAGTACCTTGCGATGTTTTAAAATGGCATAGGTACCATATACACCATTGTTAGAAAGCTTTGGGATTTCCAGAGGGTCATGGAAGATGAAAATAAATGCAATTATTTCTATCTGCTCTGCCAAGTGAATCTAACATGATGAGTGTTTGGGGAAGATTATTCCTGATCATTTCAAGAAATACAGAGTACTGGGCTAATGGTAAGATTCTTGGTAGTGTGGATGAGCAGAAAGATCTCGGTGTCCATGTGCATAGATCACTGAAAGTTGCCACCCAGGTTGATAGCGTTGTTAAGAGGGCGTACAGTATGTTAGGTTTTATTGGTAGAGGGATTGAGTTTCGGAGCCATGAGGTCATGTTGCAGCTGTACAAAACTCTGGTGCGGCCGCACTTGGAGTATTGCGTACAGTTCTGGTCACCGCATTATAGGAAGGATGTGGAAGCATTGGAAAGGGTGCAGAGGAGATTTACCAGGATGTTGCCTGGTATGGAGGGAAGGTCTTATGAGGAAAGGCTGAGGGACTTGAGGCTGTTTTTGTTAGAGAGAAGAAGGTTAAGAGGTGACTTGATAGAGACATACAAGATGATCAGAGGATTAGATAGGGTGGACAGTGGGAGCCTTTTTCCTCGGATGGTGATGGCTAGCACGAGGGGACATAGCTTTAAATTGAGGGGTGATAGATATAGGACAGATGTCAGAGGTAGGTTCTTTACTCAGAGAGTAGTAAGGGCGTGGAATGCCCTGCCTGCAAAAATAGTAGACTCGCCCACTTTAAGGGCATTTAAATGGTCATTGGATAAACATATGGATGATAATGGAATAGTTTAGGTTAGATGGGCTTCAGATTGGTTTCACAGGTCGGCGCAACATCGAGGGCCGAAGGGCCTGTACTGCACTGTAATGTTCTATGTTCTATGTTCTATGTTCATCTGCAATACAGTAATTATCAGGAGGCAGCAGAATCATGTTAATTTAAAAATGTTCGGTCACTGAGCTATCATTGGTTTAAGATGCAAAGCGGCTTATTTCATTAGCAGTTTGTCTTTGCCTGGATGGTGCAAAACCTAAGCTTTGTTGTTCTAATCTCAGAATTTAAAGAAGCTTACTCATTACAGTTAGCTTCAATAGTGGAATGGCTAATACTGTGGTTCTGCTGCTGTTGCTTTAACTAATGTTCTTGAAAAATGTTTGTCCATTGAACAAAAAAAATTGAGCCAGATATCACTGTATAGTTTTAGCAGCTGTTGACATGGTCTAATTTTGTAGACCGTGATAGGGAGATCCTGTAACCTCAACTTTGGGACAGATGCTGCCAAGCTTGAGGGAAGCCCCGTAGTTGAAAACATGATTATAGTTAGACAACTGATGTAACGTAGATTTCCTGCTCATTAGCTATGAACAGTCTTCAAATCTAGCCTTCGGGACTCCATAAATGTTTAGTGTTAAAAGATCAGTGCTTAAAAAGTATGTTTTGGCCAAGTTGCAATTTCAGTGCCGTGAACGATTTTCTGCATGCATTAGCAAATTCTTACTAATGCATGAGAGTTAAAATATAAGACATACTTTGTTGAAGGAACATATGACATTGAGTGAATGCTGGGATGCGTAGTGTTACCAGAATATATGATGGTATCTAGTGTGTTGAATGAATTCTGGGGCGAGTTATCATTGGACTGCATGACAGTATTCAGTGCGTTAAATGAATATCAACACAAATTGCTAGTCGAGGGCAAGTCTTTGAAATGTTCATAGCCAACTGAATTTTTGGCCTTGGGAAATGGGGGTAAAGTTGGCAATGAATAGCTTTTGTAGACCTATAGATGCCATTGGGAAATTGGCATGAAAGCTGAGGGCTTCTTGCAAGTAATCTGCAAATGTGAACATTTGAGCCGCCTGTCACTGGCACACTGTTTGAATCCTGCCAAACTTTTAAACAGGCAGCATAACTGGATTCCGAGGATCGGGGAGTAGGCTGTGTCAGAAATCTACTCTTTCTGTCACTGGTAATTTGGCATCTGTCCCATTCCATAAATGTAAAGCTCTCTGTCATCTAGGTGGGATTGCTGTTGTGCGATTGTGGTAGAAGGTGGTAATATGCACAGCAAAAAGACCAGAACAACATTGGGCATTCGACACAACCAGTGGGGTCACAGAATCTCTTTGGCTGAAGTCTTTAACATTCACAAGTGCTTCTTTGTACCAGACTATGGGTTTGGCATCAAGAATTGTGTCAAGTAATGGAGGAGGGGTGGGGAGACCTCCGAAAGTAACAGATTCCAGCTTCTCGCTGAGAAAGTGGCACTGTGAATCCAATGTCATGCAAAGCTATGGAAGCCTGACAAGAGTTGGTACATCATGGTATAGTATTTGACAAAGGTTGCTGATAGACTGGCACAACTGCGCACATGTTCAGCCACACATTCGAACCCTTGTGTTGTGCTCAGTGACTTTCAGTTCGTAAAAGAAATAGTATTCATGGCATTTGTAGCTGCAACGCCCCACCATTGGCAGCCGTCTCTCCAGCTGCCTGAGCCCTAAGCTCCGAAATTCCATCATTAATCCCCTCCACCTCGCCTGCTTTAAGATGTTACTTGACCTTTACCAAGTTGTTGGTCATTTTGTGTTTTAGTGTCAAAGTTTAATGTCTTGTGGTCTTGAAAGGTGCTATATAAATTCAGGTTTTATCTTTCTGCCAGCATTGCAGATCTAATCTTCGATATAATGCTACCACATTGACAAATGCACAGTATCTCTATTAGGGGGAGGCAATGGCCTAGTGGTGTTATTGCTGAACTGTTAATCTAGAGACTCGGATAATGTTCTGGTGGACCTAGGTTCAAATCCTGCCACAGCAGATGGTGGAATTTGAAAACAATAAATATCTGAAATTAAAGAGTCAAATAATGACAATGAATCTGTTGTCAATTGCCAGGGAAAACCCATTTGGTTCGCTAATACCCTTTAGAGAAGGAAACTGCTGTCCTTATGTGGTTTGGCCTAGATGTGACTTCAGACCCGCAATGTGGTTGACTCTTAACTGCCCTCTGGGCAATTAGGAATGGGCAATATATGCTGCCCTAGCCAGCAATGCCCTCATCCTGCGAATGAATAAAGCAGAAAAACAATCTCTGACCTTCTCATGGGGACTGCCACTCCTATCCTTTGTGAAAATCATGTTTAGGATAAATAATCTGTAACAATACCCGTAGCACCAACATTCTACAAGTAAAGGTCTTTTTGCTCTTCACAATCGATGTGGGCCTTTGGCCACAGTGCATCGCTGAGAAACAGTGGCCTCCATTTCCATACACTTTTCGGCTGGGCAGGATTCGAATAAAGAACCCATCATGTCAATTTAAAAACTTTAATAAGGTGTAAT